GTCCTCTTTTGGAAGGCCAAACAAAGTAGTTTCGCTTTCACAACGAATCACACAGTGCCTTCATGACATGGCGGCGGCAACAACAATACTACTCTTTGCAACTTTACAGATCTTCTTTATGCACCAAGAGCTTGTAACACTCCAAAGAGAATGGAAAAATTGAAATCGCATCATATGACCCCTTTAATCAAATTTTAGGGATGTGCAAAGGGGTAGAGTTAGAATTAGATTAGGGTTGGTGTTGGATACATACACCATTCTTTTCAACCAACAATTTCCCTGTGATTTTACAGGGGTTATGGTATGGTTAGTTTTGGGGTTAGGGGTAGGGTTTGTTCCTTTGAAAGCAATGATGTTGTAAGACCAACAAAAAGATGGGGATCCAGGAATTGCATGGATAGATCATGGTGACCAGCTCAGAGCAGCAGACACATTGATACTGGTCTTTTCAGCAGTGATACTGAAGATTACACTAACACATAACACAATGCATCCAATGTATGTACGATCATGTGCACCCTCTTCTACCTTAAGCTCCTTGAACAGTGTGCTGTTTCTTGCCCACTCCACCAGTCCAAACAAAGTCTGGTCAGCCATTTTGCACATGATGCTGAAGGTGTTGAGGCGGTCATGTTTTCCTCGGCAGGCCTGTTCTTTTTGGAGGCTTGCTAACACCCACATGCAGAGCTGCTTCTCATCTGGCTCAGCCTGTAGGAGCTCGTTTAGGAAGCATGAACGAGGGGTTGATGTTGAACTGGGTGTCAAGTTCTGTGCTGGAGTTGGGGTGGAACTTGGAGTTGAGGTTGGTGTGAGTGTAGGTGCAGGTGTGGAGAGAACAGTAGGAGAGATTGGAGCAGGGGGCGTCACAGAAGCAGAGCTGTAGCTAAAGGGGAGCTCTCTTTTCTCAGGAGGGTATCCGTGGAAGCCTGGATAGCACAGTGTATGGAAAGGTAGGGATGGATCAGACCGTGTCCGGTCCCTGGGCATGGTGCAGTCCAACAGCATGAGAAACTCGGACTGGCTCATGCTAGGATGAAAGGGCTGAGGTGGGTGGTAATGGTCAGAGCCAAGAGAAGCAGGGGAGGGGTTGAGGACATGAAAATCGTGAGGCACAGCAGGTACTAGTGCTTGTGGTCCCTCAATTTTGACCCTGTAGGGGGCAGTGTTCATCTGGTGATAGGTCCCCCTTTGCTGTTTCAGTTGCCTGTCCCGTCGGTATAGAGGTCCAAACTTGTTTCGGCCACCCCTCATTCTGTCCGCACGTACAGCTGTGACAAATAATTGTACAATTAACTAAACCACACATTGTGATGTTCAAAAGAGCATGATAAATTCTCACAGTTCTAAATTATTGTTTCTCAACCCAGTTCCTGGAGGCACACCAACATTACACATTTTTTAACTTTTCCTAATCAAACACACCTTCAACTCTTTAGCAGAGACTCCAAGACCAGAAGTGGATGGGTAAGGTAAGGGAGACATCCAAAATGTGCAGTGGTGTGGGGGGAGTCTCCAGGATAGGTTTGAGAAGCATTGCTCTAAATGATCAAACTAACACTTTTAAAAAACTGTAAGAAAATATTGACATTTCATAAAGATTCTTAACTATTAAAGTTGCGTAATTGAACCTTTTTTTATTTATTTTTTGCTTGTGTGCACATTACATTTTTCGCCTTACTGGGTCATCAAAGATTGCTATTGCAATGGTTTATGGTTTCAAAGATAAGTGGAAACAGGATCAGACATATCATGGATAGCTAACTGTGAATATCTTTCCATATCTCCGAGACAATAACTAAATTTTTCCTTGCACAAAGTCTTAATCTAAAGAACGGGGCCCGTATTCACAAAACATTTTATCTTACCACTAAGAGTTCTCCTAAATAGCAGTAAAAGTTTTTAGCTAAGAGTTTTCTTTTAAAACCTATTCACAAAGCTGCTGTGACAAACTTTTACTAAGGAATAGAGAGAAGTCTTAAAGGGGTCATTGCGATTTCACTAATCAAACACACCTTCAACTCTTTAGCAGAGACTCCAAGACCAGAAGTGGATGGGTAAGGTAAGGGAGACATCCAAAATGTGCAGTGGTGTGGGGGGAGTCTCCAGGATAGGTTTGAGAAGCATTGCTCTAAATGATCAAACTAACACTTTTAAAAAACTGTAAGAAAATATTGACATTTCATAAAGATTCTTAACTATTAAAGTTGCGTAATTGAACCTTTTTTTATTTATTTTTTGCTTGTGTGCACATTACATTTTTCGCCTTACTGGGTCATCAAAGATTGCTATTGCAATGGTTTATGGTTTCAAAGATAAGTGGAAACAGGATCAGACATATCATGGATAGCTAACTGTGAATATCTTTCCATATCTCCGAGACAATAACTAAATTTTTCCTTGCACAAAGTCTTAATCTAAAGAACGGGGCCCGTATTCACAAAACATTTTATCTTACCACTAAGAGTTCTCCTAAATAGCAGTAAAAGTTTTTAGCTAAGAGTTTTCTTTTAAAACCTATTCACAAAGCTGCTGTGACAAACTTTTACTAAGGAATAGAGAGAAGTCTTAAAGGGGTCATATGA